GTGCTAATAAAGCTAAATTATCCTTTTTTTTATCACTTGTGTCTCAAAGTTGGAATTTCACAACTACGGGTACCAGAGATACCCTGAGGAACTAAGTGTCTTAGACTGCAGGGCGTTTTCTGGATTGGAGCAGAACAAGGCTCATAAGTGTTTTCACAAGCCTTGGAACCCAAGTCTTTCTGTGGTTTGAAAACTACTTGACAAGGGTAGAAGTCTCGATTTTCCTCTAGAGAATGTCTCCTCAGAGGGAGGTAGTGGATGGAGACATTTGTGCTCACAACTACTTACATATATGTGTAATTTGCATGAGGATTTAAGAGAAATCGAATGCTGACATTGGCTGTGAACCAAGGGGAAGCCACTGGAGACACGAGGACAAGCTTTATGGTTTTATAACAAGTGGAGTCTGATGGCTTTGTTATACGCACGTGACCTCGCTTGTCCAAAACTTACTGTCTTCACGTTTGCAGTGTCTGTGTTTGTCAGGTCAGAAGGGCTGCTCGTATGTGGAAGACAGCTTACTTCATGGAAAGGTTCGGCTTCAATGCTCCACTCCACTCTCCTGACCAAGAAAATATTTTAAATTATTTGTATTAAAAACTCCTGAAAATAAGTTGGAGAAAAATAAAGAGGTTGAGAACAAGTCGAGAAAGAGAAAGATGTAGCCGCGCACCACAAAGCCACGTGACCGCCATGCCTGGATGCCCCTTAAGATGCTTCAGAAGCATCCCCGTGGTCCTTAGAATCCGAGCATGAGACAGGATAGGAAGCACAAAAATTTTCTACTTCAGGCATTGATCATGGGTGTGACTGTGGCCCGATTGTTAGGAAGGGATCCAATGGCTTTCTGGCTCTACCACAGGGACGCATGTCTGGCACAATAAACCTAACCAAACATCCACGGACGAGGAGTTCATGGGCCCCAGGAATAGGGCCTACTGCCATTCTTTTGCTAAATGAACATAGTAGCAACCTGCTTTCTAAATTCGTACCTCTGTGCCCATACTCTCTGACCTCATCAAAGTCTTTGACGGTGACTAATGCAGAAACTCGTAGCCCATCAAAGTGTCTGTGGGGTGTGCAGCGATAAATGAGACGTCTATAGCACGTCCTTTTCCCCCGAGGCTTGAGGACCGTTGAGGAAGAAGAGGTGGAAAGATCCCAGGCGCCAGAGGTCAAGAGGACTGAACCGAAGCAGCGTCTTCTGGATCTGCATGACTGCCGTGCTCACGGCAGCTCTGGCTGGCTGCACAGACCTCTAAAAGATCAGCCAGCATGGTGCCTTCCCAGCAGTGAAGCTGGGGGGCATGGCCTCTTGGCTGTTGGTGGCTTCTAGAGAAGACACAGTCAGTTTTCTCTATGGGTGTAGGCCCTGGTAGGTCAAAAAGAACATTTCTTAAATAAACGCATGTGCATTGAGTTAAATAAGCTTGAATAAACCAAAAAAACAAACTTTGCATTTGGGGAATTGTGCCTTTGAAAGGACGGTGAAGAATTTTCTTCTTGAAAGTCATAGGAGTCCTTTGAAAACATAGATTCTAAATGATGCGTGACAAAATTCCCCTGCGCAGCCTGGGAAATAACCAAGGTCTGTATCAAAGGCACAACAGACCTTCACAGTGAGGTGGCTTGTTGTGTGGGCATTAAGAATGCTGCTTTCTCAATGAAATTTACTTTTTTTTTTTTTGGAGACATTTTCTCTGTGTGTCCTTATCTGTCCTGGAACTCACTCTGTAGACCAGACTGACCTCGAACTCACAGAGATCCGCCTGCCTCTGCCTCCCGAGTGCTGGGATTAAAGGCGTGCGCCACCACCACCCGGCTGCAATTTACTTTTTCTATAAATAGAAGATCTGTTCAAGAGATGAGTGTTTACTGTGGTAGTTACTGCGACTTTCCAGAACCCATTTCCACCAGTCAGGAAGTAACAGTTCCTCATGGCAGTGACTGAGACAGAGAATGGCACTCAGAGCTGAGTTCCCAAGAAGTTAATAAAGATGAAAATTAACCATAAATCAAACACAGGTTTTATTTCTCACCCATCTGGGGGAGGGTAGTCCAAAGCTCAGAGGGCAGGTTCCTGAAGTCCCAGGGCCCGAGCTCATTTTAGTTCTTGTTCCATCGGACTTTGACTACACACTTATGCTCACGGGTCAAGGTGATCGTGACGGTTCAGCTACCATGCTTACATTCTGGAAATCAAAAGGAAGATGGAGGTTAAAAGGAAACCTCCCAAAAGTTCTGCGCATTTATAAACCATTTTCACTTATATAATACGGTTTCCAGTTTTGTGTTTTTATGGAATTTCTCTGTGTGTGTATGTATGTGTATGTATGTGTATGTATGTGTATGGAATTTCTCTGTGTGTGGATGTATTGTCTGTATGTGTATGGAATTTCTCTGTGTGTGGATGTATGTGTATGTATGCGTATGGAATTTCTCTGTGTGTGTATGTATGTGTATGTATGTGGATGTAATTTCTCTCTGTGTGTATGTATGTGTATATATGTGTATGGAATTTCTCTGTGTGTGGATGTATGTGTATGGAATTCCTTTGTGTGTATATGTATGTGTATGGAATTTCTCTGTGTGTGGATTTATGTGGATGTATGTGTATGGACTTTCTCTGTGTGTGGATGTATGTGGATGTATGTGAATATAATTTCTCTGTGAGTATATGGATGTGTATGGATGTGTATAAACTTTCTCTGTGTGTGTATGTATGTGTATG